TAAAGTAAACAGACTTTTAAACAAAGAGCCTGTTGAGAATGCCAGTAAGTTTCTAGATGTCCATGAGCAAAAGTGGAATGAGATGATCTTAGCTACAGCATTGAGGAACATCAGTGAAGCAAAGTGGAATGTGCCCATTCTCATGCCCTTTACCCCTTGTATACAGATAATAAAAACTAACGTATGTTAGGTTTGGGGTGTGTCAATTCCGTAAAAATAATGCTGGTTTGATTAATTTTCGCATTAATTTGTATACTCCAGATCGTTTCAACCCCGAAGGGCTATCCCTTTACTTTAATTCAGTACCTTTTTTNAAAAAGGAGCTCCTGAGTATGGTCACATTTACAAAGCATTTCCGTCATTATCTATTGGGGAAGGAGTTTGTGTTGCGAACGGACCACAATTCATTGCGGTGGTTACATAACTTTCAGGGTTTGGAGGGGCAGTTGGCTCGTTGGGTTGAACAGCTTGCTAGTTTTCAATATAAGATCGTTTATCGTCCAGGTAAACTTCATAGTAATGCTGATGCCCTCTCAAGGTTGCCAGCCTTTTTGGGAAAAGAGTCACAGTTTAGTCAGGGAGTGGTGGATAGGGGTGAGTCCAAGGTGTGTGCAGTGCAGGAGAGTTTGCTTTTTGTAGGGTCGGAGGAGGAGGGAGAGGTAGATGAGTTGTCTCAGGCGCAAATGGCCGATGAGGAGTTGCGGCGAGTAATTGATTGTAAAAAACAGGGCCAGGGTGTATCAATGCTAGATGTAGATTTGTAAAGATATATTCCTGTGTGGGACCAATTAGAAGTTCGGGGAGCTAGGTTGGTACGCATTCCCCCAGCTTACTTGGATGCCGCGTCCCAGGTACAGGTAGTGTTGCCTCGGGCTATGGTGCCTCAGGTTTTAGAACAGCTACACAGTGTTTGTACAGGTGGTCATTTGGGGGTGCAGAAACTGCAGGGGAAGGTTAAAAATCGTTTTTATTGGCCGGGTTGGTTCAAAGATGTTCGGCAATGGGTGCAGGGGTGTGTTGAGTGTGGGTCTCGTAAGACTCAAGGTAAGCCCCCTTGTGCACCTTTACAGCCATCAATTGCATCTAGGCCTTTTGAACGAGTGGCTTTGGATATTCTTGGTCCCTTGCCCCTGACAGCAGGGATGAATCAGTATATACTGGTCATTGGGGATTATTTTTCCAAATGGACTGAAGCTTTTCCATTGCCTAACCAGGAAGCGTGTACAATGGCAAGGGTTTTGACTGAGGAGTGGGTGTGTCGGTTTGGAGTTCCACGGAGTCTTCATTCTGACCAAGGACGTAATTTTGAGTCCATTTTATTTAAAGAATTATGCACTCTTTTGCATATGCATAAATCTCGAACATCCCCTTACCATCCTCAGTCCGATGGATTAATTGAACGATTTAATCGTACTCTTTTGGATATGCTGTCTCTTTTTGTGGGCGATAATCAATTAAATTGGGATACCCTTTTGCCTTATGTTATGTTAGCTTATCGTAGTAGTGTCCATGCTAGTACTTCCTTCACCCCATATAAAGTAGTGTTTGGACAAGAAATTGTTTTGCCTATTGATGTTATGTTGGGGGTAGGGCCACAGGAGACCTTTACATCAGTGGACAATTATGTGTCTAGATTGAGGGAAACATTGTCCACTGTAGTGGGGGCGGTCAAAAAGCATCAGGCCAAGGCCTCCGAACGACAGAAAGTGGCATATGATTTCCGAGCCAATTTCCAGTATTATTCTGAGGGTGAATTGGTTTGGTTGCAGGATAAGGCTAAGAGGCGGGGGGTGTGTCCCAAGCTGCAGAGGCGGTATAGAGGACCATTTAGGGTGGTGGATCGTGTGACAGATGTGCTGTATAGACTTATGCCAGAGGGGGGTGGCAAAGAGTGCGTTGTCCACTTTAATCGATTGAAGCCTTTTAATTGTTCTTTGGCAGAATCATCCAACCCAAAGACATCTGTCCAGGGAAGAGGTTCTGATGGGATTCAACGACCGGTTGGACAGCGTCAGTCCCAGGGCGTTCGACTTGATGCCAGCTGGGTTCCCTATCGCTGTTCAGATCGAGGAGTTCCCGCGGAGCTCCCGGAACTACCAAGGCAGCAGACTGATCCAGGTTTACCTCAGGAGGGTGCTTTGGGACCAGCAGGACCAGCTGGAGATGTACTTGCCCCTCCGGAAACTGGTTCCTTGGAGGTTATATCAGATCAGACCACCAGTTTGGTCCCGTGATTATCAGTGATCACCGAAGTGACTCGGGGACGAGTCCTTTTTTTCATGAGGGGGGAAAGTGTGATGTGTGGACTGATTTGGGTATGGATGGGCGGAGACATGGGTAAATTGATTGGATTGATTGTAGCAGGTGTGGCTGAGTCGGGAGTATTCTGGAATAAGGCAGGATATAAAAGGATACGAGAAAAAGGTGAAGAGAGATCGTGTTGTGTACCTGCGGCTGGATACTTTTGGGACGGGAGGGTGTCGTTCGCAGTTGTTTAGGATTGCCGGCGACGAAGACAGACAGCTGAGGGGGATTAGCTGTGCCGGTGCTAGGAGGGGAGGTTTGTTGCCTCCTGTAGTGAGTTAGGGTTGGGCTTGTAGGAAAGTGGAGTGCCGCAATTGGGTCTGGCAT